AATTATATTTGAATATTGAGATTTCCCAGCTGAAAAGAAACAAAACTTTGCTAACTCACAGGGAAAATCTCAAAATTTTAAGGCGTTTTTCCTTAAAATCAGGTTTTTTGTTGCTACTGCTCAAAAAGTGCTTCAAAATTTAGTTTTATGATTATATTTCAGACAGTTCATTCAAATGATACAATAATAAGGCTTTTATTAATTATATTTTGACAAAATGCAATTTTTGTTAAAATTTTAGTCAAAACACTATATTTACCTATTTCTCCATGTTCAACTTTTGGACTTAATCCTCGTTTTGATGTGATGGCTCACAAATACAGTAACTTGTCTTTTAATACTCAATGTTTCTTTTTTTTAAACCAAGACTTACTCTTGTTCTTGTTCAAGCTTTTTAGCTGCTTCTTTCTTCATTTTCTCCTTTTCAAGATATTCTTCCAGCTCCTTGCCTTCCAGCTTCACTCGTTTCCTCACCTAACAAAGAAAAAAGGATGATGATGATGATGATGATGATGATGATGATGATGATGATGATGAGGACCGTCTCTCTATCAGAGCCAAAACAACCTCACAGCCGCCAGCCTCACCTCCAGATCCAACAGCTTTTCTCCAGGATTGTCGATGAGGTAGCGAGCCAAGGTTCCAGGTGTGGTGCGGTAGGTTAGGATGATGGAGTGTTTGGCGTTTTCACACAGCTGGATGAATAACTCCCTGGAAAAGCCAGACTCCAGGTCCGGCTGGCTGCAAAGCACCACCTTGGGGTTGGGGACCCGGACCAGGTCTGTCAAACTGTGGCACAGGGTCAAGTGTCTGAACTGGAAGGGGTTGTTCCTTTTGTCCTCAAAACACCTCATGAGTTTGTCGCTCATCCACTCCACCTACGGAGAACGAGAGGACGACGGCTCTTAAGGGTTTGCCCGTCATTACCGTCGAACAAAAAATAATCGTCGATTAATACCTGAGACTTGGAGAATTCCACCACATTGTAGCTGACATTGTTGAGCAGAGCTAGCGGATAAACTCCCAGCCCGGCATCCTTCGTCCTCCAGATTTGGTCCAGGAGTTGAGCCAGCTCTAGTACTCGCCCAGCCGTGTCCACGGCAATGAGGACATTGCCATCACCACGCAGGGTCTCCATTACATTGGCTGTGTACGTGCACAGGAGGGTGGTTAGTGGGATGACAAACAGGGGAAAAGCAGAGAAAATACACAAGCATTGTTGTTAGGAATGTCGTGATTACCTTAAAAATGTATTTATTCTCATATTTAAATACAGTCGAAAATTACCACCAATATTTTTGTTTTATTTAGTCTTTTATAAGAAAAAACGAACAGATTTATTTTTCAGTCAGTTTTTCACCATATGATTCATACATTTAGAAATGTCATAGTTTACAAAATAAATATTTAACTTACAAATTCAATAATTAGTTAACAAGCTAAATATTTAATTTGCAAGCAGTGTTGTTTTCGTTAACGATGACGATGACGAAATATTTTCGTTGACGCCCCCTTTTTTCAAGACGATAACGAGACGTAACGAAATAAACATAGCTCTTTGATGACTAAGATTAAGATTTGATTAAGACATGACGAAAACACGTGTGAGTTTTCGTTGACGAGACGAGACTGGACGAAAATGTTAGTCGGTGGTCTGTCAGT